TCAGTCCTCAGCTGTTCCAACGTTCCTGTACCAGGTGCTAGACATGTGAGTGCAGAAGACTTCAAATAACTCGAGCCTTAGCTTCCATGTGTCTGACACCCTATGAAGGAATGCAAGGAAAAACAGCCCAGCTGAGCCTATCAGCTCCCAGAACCATGGGACATAATATTGGGGTGGTTAGCTATGCAGCAATAGCTAACCCAAATAGGCTTATCATAATGGAAGTTTATTTCTTGCCTATTCAGAGTTCATTAAGAATACAGGGGACCATCAGGGCAATTGTTCCTCATGACCCATCTCAAAAATTCAGGCTTCTCTGGATTTGTAGACTCCTAGATCATGATCCTCCCTCTAAAAGTTCCACAGCAGGAGAAGGGAACACCAGAACATATGGCACCAGTGATTAAATGTTTCTACTTGCAAGTGATACATTCACATCCCTCCTGCTTGCTGACCATTGGCTAGAACTGTTACAATGGTAGACCCAACTTCAAAGAGGGTGTGGAAGCCTACTTCTCTGCAGGCTGGGGAAGAGAGGGACTGAATATGCATCTACCACATTCTTCCTCTCTTTCCTGCTATTGTGTTAGTTCATCAGAGGACAAGGTATTCGTTTTCTGACTTGGAGCCATGTATTTTTGTGTGACCATAGCTGCCCCACAGTGCTACCAGTGGAAACTACTCTAGGGACAAAAGCTTTCTCCCAGTACACACACATGTACACACACACAGTACACACACACACACACACACACACACACACACACACACACACACATATATATATGTTGTTGCTGTTTTGTTGATTTTAGAGAGAGAGAAGAAGGGAGAGGGAGAGAGAGAGAGAAGCATCAATGACAGAGAACCATTCATTGATCAGCTGCCTCCCACACACTCTCTACTGGGGATTGAGCCCACAACCTGGGCATGTGCCCTGACTTAGAATGAATGGGTGACCTCTCAGTGCATGGGACAACACTTAACCAACTGTGTCACACCAACCAGGGTTCAATCTTCTTAAAACTATAATTCCATTCTTTAGACACGTAGAGGATGGAGCACTGACCTATTGCTGCATAACAAATTATCCCACATTTTAATGGCTTAAAGCAACAGTTGTTTCACAGTTTCTCTTGGCTAGAAGACACACTTAAGCTGTTCCTTATGGCTCTAGATCACTCTTATGGCTCAGTCATCTCAAGAGTTGGGGAAAGATCTGCTTCTAGATTACTTTTATGGTTGTTCACAGGATTCAGTTCTTCAGAGTTGTTGGACGAGGCCTCCATTCCTCATGTGTTTGGAAAATGGGGAGTAGCTTCGTGTTACTGGAGCATGGGGGATTGTAGGAATGGTGGACCATAAAGTAGGCAAAACTGAAGCTAGATTGTGAAGGACTTTGTGAACCATGATAAATGAATTTGACTTTAAGAAAAATAGAGAGCCCTTATAGCATGCTGTTGCCTCCGAATGATAATATATAACCTTTTCTGAATCATAGCATGAGTTAGGTATTATATTTATCTCACTCAGTCTTCACAGCCACCATTTGCAGTATGTTCTATTATCACCTGCTATTAATCAAAACCTTGGTGTTTACTAGTTATAGCTCCAAGTCACATTGGTAGGAAGTGTCAGGCTGAGATGCCAATCATGGTTCAATAGCAACTGCTTCCCCAACCCTGCCTGGTCTGTGCCACCATACCCTTGAACCTATGCATTCTTTCTGTATTCTCTCCTACTCACCTTAGTCTGTAGGCCAATAAATGCAGTTTTTGAACACACATTTTGTATTAGATACAGGAAAATCTTCAGCAATAGTTCTCTTTCTTTCTTTCTTTCTTTCTTTCTTTCTTTCTTTCTTCTTTTTTTATTATGAATTGTTCTTCCTTTTTTTATGAATTGGTTTCAGGTGTACAGCTTAGTGGTTAGACAATCATAATTTACATAGTGTTCCCCAGCACCCCAACCAGCACCATATATATTTATCACAATATTATTGACTATACTTCCTATGCTTTACTTGCTTCCCCGAGACTATTTTGTATCTACCTACTTGTACTTCTTAGTCCCTTCACCTCTTGTGCCCAGTTGTCTCTCTGTATGTATGAGTCTGTTTCAATTTGTTTGTTCATTTGTTTTTTCTTTAGATTCTACATATAAGTGAAACCATATGGTATTTGTCTTTCTCTGACTGACTTACTTCACTGAGCATGATACTGTCTAGGTCCATTGATGCTGTTGCAAGCAATAGTTTCTTTTGTCCCAGATATGTTCTCTTTTTTTTTAATTTTGAAAAATTTTCAACATACACAAAAGTAGACAGAATAGCAAAAATGAACTTAGATTCAACATTAATTGGTATTGTGCCACTTTGGTTTCATCCATCCTCCCTCCACTCTCCAAATTTTATTTCTGGAGTTTTAAAAAGTGAATTCTAGATAGCCTATTACTTCAACCATAAATATTTCACTATCTGTAACCAATAAAATTATATAGTCATAACACCATTATCACAACCAACAAAATGAATAGTAATTCCTTAATATCATATCTTATTTTAAGAACTTTTAAAAAACTAATCATATATATATAAAAGCTGCACGGAATAGAATTATAGAATTCACATGAATGAGTCTTTTTTTTTTATTCCTCACTTGATGATATTTTTCTACTTATTATCAGATAGAGTGGGAGGGAGGGAGAAAGACAGAGAGAAACATTGATGTGAAAGAGCAACATTGACTGGTTGCCTCCTGCACAACCCGACCAGGGTAGGGGAGGAACCGCAACAGAGGTAGGTGCCCTTGACCTAAATTGAACGCGCGACTCATTGGTCCATGGATGCTCTAATTGCTGAGTCAAACCGGCCAGGGTGATTCCTTTATTTTTATAAGCAAAATAAAATGTTTTCAGTTGAGTTTATAAGATTAATCTGGTTAAATAGGACAAAAGTCTTAAGGTCTGGGCAGTTCTTACTAAAATGCTATTCTTGCTAAATGTAAAAATGTAGCACAGTATTTTACAGGTGCAGCTGCGATCAGGATGAGCTTGACAGGAACCCAACCTGATAAGTGAGTACAGCCATCCAAAAAGAAGAATCAACATGTAATTGACCAAATAGTGTTTGTAAGAATAGCTAAGCTTCCCTTAGGGGAGACAGAGCTTTGAATATGAATCCACATTTAAAGTAAATAAAACTGCCTTTCAACAACTTTCTAGAATAAATCTCCTAAGCTGCAAACCCCTTGAGTTCGATTATAATCTGTATATAATAACAGTGACTCTTAGTAACATTTATTTCAGGAACATTTTCCAAATTTACAGTAATTTATAAATTTGAGTCATATTTTGATAAGGGCAGGTTCTACATAGAATTTAGCTACTATGAATTAACACCTAACGCAGGTAAGAGCTTCTCTGGAGGCAAAATTAACCTTTATTTCCTATAAGTAGTGATTGTAGATTCATGTCATGTACCCTGCAATAATCATAGTTCTATAGCTTTGTGTTAAGCTCAGTTCAGAAATTACATACTTCTCATGATATATTGATCTCTGTCAACCGATGGTTGTTGGTGCCAATTCAGTGCCAACAGGAATCCCTAATTTAGGATACTGTGAAGAAGGAAACTTTATTCAGTGCAAAACAGCTCAACTGTGATACAGTACAGGCTGTACGCTGTGAAATAGTCCTGGGGCCAGGCCCTTCTCTAGCTAGACATCTCTGCTCCTGGCTGGTCTGCTCTGCTCTAGTGAGATTATCTTCTGAGTTTCAGCTCAGTGAGGGAGACACAGCCTTCACTCTTACCTGGAAAAGGAAAATGGCTCTCAGAGCCTGAGGGGAGCTGTCTTTTCTGGACCGTGGTCCTTGATTGGTCTGTCTTCATGCAAATGAAGACTCCACATCTTTGAAGTTTAATTGGCCCAAAAGGCACTGTCCTGATTGGTCAGAATAAAGCCACTCTGGTTGCTGGAGATGCACAGCTCTGCCTAGATGGGGAAAGATTCAGTCCCATTGTTTAAAGTAGGATTTCAGGAACTGCTTTATAAAGGCTGGCTCAGGCAGCAGAAACACACTGCAGGCAGGTAGGTCAATATAGGCTTCTCCTTTAAGTGACATTTACCCGAAAACCCCCTGTGTAGAAATGGCTGCCAAGCTCTGTTTTTAAACGTTTTATCCCAGTTAGCCACCAGGAGCCCTCCTTAGCCCTCCTTAGTAGGTGTCTTCTTTCTCAGGGTTCACATCACATTACTCAATTTTATACTTTGAATTCTTATAAAGCACACTTTGAAAAGCTCACCAAGCCTCTAATTGTATTTCAATTATATGCACACGAGTGTGGTGGCCTCCAGGTACAGTTGCACTAATGTGTACATGCAAAGAAATTTGGAACTATTTGACTGCTTTTATTTTAGATCTCACAAACTGCAGCCCAAAAAAGTGTGAGGTTCATTTAATTACAACTGGCAATGTTCTTATTAACTGACTCATTTTTATCTATTAGTAACCATGTTTTAAAAGTTTTTTATAAAATTAAAATTATTCTTGTAAAAAAATACAACTGCATAGTCTGTTTAATTTAACTAATACCCCTAATTAGGCAATGATATTGCAAGGCACACCTGCAGAGAGTACTTTAACTTTCTTTGCCCTTTCAGCAAGAGAAGCCCACCACTCCCTCCAATTTTCATTAAACAGGTTTACTTTGCAGTCTATTGTTGTTATTTTTGCTACCATTTGAAGAGGGGATGAATTCTTAAATTATTGGCCATGTTTCTCTTTAGAAAAACCCACACGCGCCAACTAGCCTGGGCACACGCGGTGCGTGTTCTAACTTAAGCAACATCCAGTCATCTGTTTATTTTCTGCTCAGTGGTCAGGAAGAAAGGGAGGCCGTTGCCTTGGCAACAGACACCCGGGGCAACGGCGGCAAGTCTTGGCGGGAGGGGGCGTGGCCTTAGCGCCCCGGCTGATAAGAGGCGGGGCCTTAGATCTGCCTCGGAGCATCGGCTATTGGCTCGGCCGGGAGGAGACGCGCATTGGCAACCTCGCCGGGTACCTGGAAAGGCCCAGCGGTGCAGCGAGCGAGGCATTGAACTCGCCGCTCCCTTTCCCCACACGCCCTGTCGAGGAGCCTCGCTCCGCGCCCCAATATGGCGGGCGGGCGATGCGGCCCGCGGCTGACGGCGCTCCTAGCCGCCTGGGTCGCGGCGGCCGCGGCGGCGGCGGAGGAGGAGGCCGTCCTGGAGCACATTCCGCTGCCGGCAGAGCGGAGCATGGTGCTTCCTATGACCGCCTCCAACTGGACGCTGGTGATGGAGGGCGAGTGGATGCTGAAATTGTGAGTGTGCCCGACCGACCCGCACACACTGTCCTCGCGGGTCCGCCCCGGACGCCGCACTCCCCGCAGGGCTCGACCTCAGGCCCCAGGCCAGCTGTGCCACCGACCGGCCTGCTCGCGCTGCGCATGCGCCGGCCTCCGCGGGCACCGCCGCGGGCGAAGCGCTACCCTCTAGTCGCTCGCCCGGCGTGCCCCTACTTGAGGGAACGTGCATTAGGGATGGGTGGGTGAGCAGCTTACCGAGGAGAGGGCGTGGGAGGGGGACGGAGAAAAGCTGCAAGAAAATAGCATGCATTTGATACAGCTCTATAGGTAGAGGAGAAAGGGCGGTCATTCAATGACATTTATTGCAGTACAGTCACGTAGCCTGGGCTAGGCAATGTATTTGCTGAAGGAATAATTGCAGCACCGTGAAGGGCAGGCCAGTTTGTACGAAGTATCTTAGTCATCATTTTGAAGATCTCAAGATGTGAAAAATAAAGCAGAAAGATGGGTGCTTTTGAAATTTAAAAACAAGCCTCAAGTAAATATTGATACGTGTAATTTTTAGAGGTAGAGCTTTCTGGTTAACTATAACTTGATGTGCTAGTGTCATAAAGAAAGGGGCATTAATAAATTGCCCCTTTTGAACAATAGAAGGTAAACCGTGGGTAGTACCTTTTCCTGAAGGGGATGGGAAAATATAGCTTCGCGTTACGACCAGGCAAGGGATTATCATAGATAAAATTAATTCATATGAGGAAGAAAGTGATTATTTGCAAGATTTGAAGTAGACGGGGCAGATATTTGGATAGGCTTGAGAGACCATTCATGGTGGTCTGGCAGAGAAAATGAAGAATGGAGAAAAGATCAATATACATACGTAATCATTACTATTTGATACTAAATGTTTCATTGACACAGACTTTCACATAATTGGATCTCTCCTTCATTTGTCCAAGACTAAATTTTGAACCTTTCAATTTACATGCAAGCAGAAGCCTATGAAGTGAAAGTGTCCCTGTGAGATCAGGGCCAAAAGTTCTGTCATTTGGCAGATTACATTGTTTAAAGAACAGAATGTACAGTACCCCTCAAATATAACTTACCTTTTGGTCACAAAGAGAGGGATATTTTAGACCTCAAAGTAAAATGCCTTTGGTATAATAATAAACCAATGAAATTTTTAAAGAGATCTGTAGACATGAAGCTCTTATTAAAATTAACCACTTAACTACTTTGAATGGAGGAGTTGAGGAGGTCATTTTCCTTTTAAGAGAGAAACTTTTAAGCATAGTGGAGCTTCATTCTGAACTGTCATGTCTGTAATAATTGTAAGAGGTTTTTTAGAGAGGCTGTGTTTTGTCAGATCGTACTGTAGACAGTTCTTTTTTCAGGAAGTGCTTACAAAATGGAGTTTTCTAGATGTCAGTTTTCTGAATCTTACTGAGTTTGTGTATGTACATGATGACAGTCAAAGCGAAAGGCCCCAGCTCCTTTATAGTTACTTTTGAAGTAGCTTTTTTTTTTTTAAGTAAAACTAAGAACACTAAAGCTGAGGTAAGTGTAAGCCAAGTTAAGCTTGTAAATAGGCACCGACCAACAGCTCTTATGCTTGGCCTTGCGGACAGTTCAAATTTTACTTCTTCATAAAGGTACAAGCCTAGGTGTAGTAATCGGTTGCTCTAAACTTGTCACGTGCCCTTTGCATGGAATGTGTTTGGACTGTGAAACAAGGTGAGACTTGTAGTCCAGAAGTCAGTAAGTTAGTAGTTCTCCTTTCATCCAGTGCACTCCCGAATAGGAATCAAGGCTGAAAGAGGATTTCAACCATTGCATCCAGCTTTCTACATACTGAACCTAGGTGCTTGTACTGAAGAAACATTGTGGCTCTTGCACTCTCAAAAATATAAAATTCATTATCTTCTCAGTACCTCTAATAGGCCCACTATAAATTTTCAAGAATTCATTCAAATAGCCAGTCAGATTTTTCCCCTGATATATATAACAGAGAAAACCAAAATATGTTAATACCAGTTTTTGCCCGGCCAGTGTGGCTCAGTGGTTGAGCATCGACCCATGCACCAAAAGGTCACTGGTTCGATTCCTGGTCAGGGCATATGCCCAAGTTGTGGGCCAAATCCCCAGTGGGGGGCATGCAGGAGACGTCCAGTGGATGTTCTCTCTCTCCCTCTCCCTTCCTCTCTCTAAAATCAATAAAGAAAAAAATTTAAAAAAGAATAGTTTTCATGTTAACACTTTGTTCAGGTGAACTAGTCATAATAAATGGAAATTGTTTGAGGTCCACATTGTTAGATGGTGTATTTAACTTCTCTAAAGAAGCAAGTTAAGCTTTCTGACAGTATTAAAAGTTTAACATTACTTTGAATGCTTATATGCTTCCTCTCTTCTGGGAAATTTTTCTTTTATATTCCACTGTATACAAAGCTCCTATAATGCAATTCCTGATTATATTGGTATCAGTAATGTAATTCATAGGATCTACCAGTGTTTATCTGCTTTGAGACATGAAAAGTTTTTATTGTAAAATTTATTGTTCTGCCCTGGCTGGTTTGGCTCAATGGTTAGAGAATTTGGCCCATGGACCAAAGAGTTGTGGCTTTGATTCCCAGTCAAGGGCACATACCTGGATTGCAGGTTCTATACCAGATCTCCTGCCCCGGTCAGGGTCCAGGGTCGTGTGAGAGGCAACCAATCTCTCACGTTGATGTTCCTCTCTCTCCCTCCTTTCCATTCTATCTAAAAATCAATGGGAAAGTATCCTCTGATGAGGATTAACAGTGGTAATTTTGAAACATGATCAACAAATTAATATATTCTACTTTCAGTCAATTTTTTTGGATCCGTGCAATTGGATTTCCATTTTCAACAAAAGCACTCTTTGCTAAGGAGAAATATCAGTTAAAACTATATTTATAATTCTGAAACCTTTTTTCAGATTTGAACAAACTTCTATTACTACACATTGACTTTAATGCTATGGACTTATATATTCAGTTTTTATCTTATTTTTTTGCCTGCAAATGTTGTTTTATAATTTCTATCCCCATTTCTTCCATTTCTCTATAATTGGCTTTCTGTGCTTTTTTCATCAACCTCTGATGGAAAATTTGCTCTTTCTCAAGGTTAGGAAAGATTATCTAATCTTTAAAAGCCTTCTAATGTTTTATTTCCATTGTTTCATACTATCTTTCATTCTTTCTTTGTAACTTTTGCTATTTTAAATACTTGGTTGGCTCCCATCATTCACTCTTTGAGAAAACTATTTTTGTTCTTTTGAAACAAAAGTATGCGATGTAATACATTCTGTATACTGTTCTGGTGCCTCCCCCCTCACCCCAAAAGAAATATGAAGATATCCAAATAGCTTAGAGTGACCCGCCTACCTTTAAACTGATACACAGAGAAAAAGTATTCTTTGGGTTAAAATTCCTCAGTAAAGCATATAGATTGTTATATTAAGCACTATTCTTTCTTACTTTGTTCTTGGGATGATCATGTTTCATGTTAAAATTACTATTAGTCATGTGGTGGTGGAAGAAAACCTCATTTATTTCACAAGGACCTCTAGTATTGCTTTCTCAATATCCTTATTATATCTAGGGAGAACATCTATAACATTTTTTTTTTTTATCCTCACCCGAGGACATTTTTCCATTTTTTGTACAGATTGAGTGGGAGGGAGAGAGAGGAAGAGAGAGAGAGAGAAACATCGACGTGAAAGGGACACATCGAGTGGCTGCCACCCGCACGACCAACCAGGGCCGGGGACAAACTGCATCCGAGGTACATGCCCTTAGCGGGAACCAAACCCGGGTCTCTCCGGACCGCAGGCCGATGCTCTAACCGCTGAGCCAAACCGGCCAGGGCATCATCTATAACATTTTTTATTCATTTATTTTTTATCCTCACCCGAGGACATTTTTGCATTTATCTTCAGGTAGAGCAGGAGGGAGAGAGAGAGAAAGAGAGAGAGAGAGACATCAACGTGAGAGAGACACATCGAGTGGTTGCCATCCACACGACCCCAGCCAGGGCCGGGGACAGTCTGCAACCTAGGTACGTGCCCTTAGCAGGAACCAATCCCAGGACTCTCTGATCTGCAGGCCGACGCCCTAACCACTGAGCAAAACTGGCCAGGGCACATCTGTAACATTATTGCCTTGCCTTACCCAAGTCAAATAGTTAGAATTTCTTGCAGTGTAAAAAAAAGAATGTCTTGCTTTGGTGGTTGAATTTTTGAAGTAGTCATTGTTCATCATGTGTCAGTTTCAGAGTCGGGGATCTGGTAAGATGAAAATGAATGAGTTACGATCCTTGATTTCAAGGGGCTGGCATCTACTGTATCCTAAAGGAAATAAATATTGTATGTAGCATTCATTTATTTACTAAATATTTACTAAATATTTCTTCTCTGTCTAGCACGTAGCAGTGGTTCTCACTAGGGCATTATTGGCATTTTGGATTGGCCAGTTCTTTGATGTGTGGGGATGGTTCACACATTGCAGAACCTTTGGCATCCCTGACTATACCATTCTGATAGTCGTGTGACACCAAAATAATTTAACAATTTCCGTCCCCTATGCACTTTTCCTAATATGTCTGAGTGAAAACCACTGTTCTGGGTACTGTTACAGGTATTTTAAAACATGCAGAAGAGGAATTCATAAACTAACATCGAAGTATTTGATTTTAAATTTCTTCCACAAAGGATATTCATCCACATCACCATCACCATCACCATCATCATCGTCACTGTCATTTCAGTCACAGTGAACAGTTATATTGATTATATTACAGGTCCTAATGCTGTCTTATTTGATCATCCAAGCAGTCTGGTATAGAATTATCATTCTCATTCACTAGAGGATATGAAAACTTGGAAAGACTAAAGCTTTGACCAAGGCTGGATCCCTTAGTAAGTTGTGGGCAAGGCCAGAACTGGAATGCAGACCTGAGCTTTGCAGTCTCTGATGCAAGCCAGGGCAAGTAGCTGGGTA